TTAACCAACTTTCCCCCCTTTCTAAATCCAAAAAAAAGAATGCCCCCTATGTGTGCCCCTTTTAAAAATTAATAAAAAATTATTGATCTACCCATCTCCTGTTTTTTCATTTTCACGTTGATGACTAGAGATTTGACCCTATTTGAAGTTTTTGCATTTACATTTCCCTTTTTTCTCTTTCTCCAAAATTCAAATATTAAGATGATTTATTTATTAATTCATTTTACTATTTTAAATTTTTTTATTATTTTCATTTGTTGGTTGATATTTTGTGTTTATTTTACAATATTTAATTATTTAATTGAAATAGTTGCAATATTAAATCATCCTTAATAGTATATTTAATATTTTGTATGTATTAGTTAAGAATTGTTTTGGTATTCTATGCTTTTTAAATAATAAAGGYAAAAGCCATAAAATTTTTATTTTACATTACATTTGATAATATTAATTTTTATTGATATCATTATATTTTACACTTTGATATTATTTTTGATAATATCTTATAGTCTTTTTTTTTCATTTTTATTATTTTTATAATATTGATCTTTTTATTACTCTTTTAAATATTATTTATTAGCCTTATTTATTATTTCTTTAATATTTTATTATCTTAGTCATTTTCATCTATCTTTGTTTAAAAAAACTTAAGGGGTAAATTTGTAAATGCACAATTTTTAGATGTTACAACATCCATATTACCGAACAACTCCACTATATTCAAATGTCTGCAAAAACGAAAAAGCAAATTTTCCACTAAATGCTTTCAGAGCATTTTCGGAGGATTTTTTTATTTTTTATTTTTGCTTTCAGACTTCAGATTTACCGAATGCCACCTTACACTTGTTTGGTTTGCTAGTGGAGTATTTATTTGCTAGTTGTGAAGAAGATTGAGACATTGCTAATAAATGGAGTAAATTTTGCTGTTTTCTCATAAAACATTTTTTTCTCTATTTTTTTTTCTTTGTATATTTTGTTTGTGATCCTTGCTGGTTATTGCCACATAGGAAGGGCGGTTTATATTGAGAAGAGCCTACACCAGTCATTACAGAAGTGGCTGCTATAATGGAAGGCTTGCACCTGGCTAAGTTATTGTCGTTGGCCTCAATTATAATTGAGACGGATGCTAAAGCTGTACTTAAAGCCATATCTGCTGATCATGACCCTTTATGCACTCACACAGTGTAAGGTGGCATCACACTATTCCACAGTGTCGCAGTGTGATGGCAAAATTTACTTCCTCTATGCACTCACTCACACATCTTACACTTGTAATGGGTTGGCTCATAGCCTCATAGGCTAGCTATGTTTGCCATTTACGCTCATGGCCTCATAGGCTACCTATGTTTGCCATTTACACAATTGTTCAATGACCTGGTCCCTCACTCCAAACTCTGTGAGAACTTTGATTTCTGCTGAGGAGACTGGATTGGTTGGAGACAAAATCATGCACACTGGTTTGGGCTATCTATCAGGATGAACAATCAGTGTTCAATACAGATGGCCTCAGATGAGATATAACTTTGAATATGTTGAATGGATTTGCTTTTAGGCTTCAAATAAAAAGTAAATCTTTTGAAGAATGTGGATTTGGCATTAGAAGCCCAAGGCTGTGTTTGTTATCGGTGGAAAATTCATCGCTGTAAAACTCAATCGATGGGTTTAAAATTTTAGTAGACCGTTCGAATTTGTTTTATGAGATAATCAATGTAAATGTACATCGATTATCGATGAAAAAGTCAACCCATGTGTTTTCGATGTAAACCTTACACTGAAAACAAATGCATAAAATTACGGACTTTGTGTAGAGTTTTACACAAAAAACAAACGCAGCCTAAAAGATTTGAACACTGTTTTCTGCATCAAAAGTTTGTGGCAGGTTTTGAACTCAAATTCTCTTTGGTCAAAATATTTGGAGGCAAAATTCCTAATGAATCAACACCATTATTTCATTAATGGAGGGTCTTGTTCAAGAACTTGAAGAACTAATGTTAACTCCAACAACTTATAAATATGTTTATTTGCTCCTTCAACAACTTAAATTTATGCCTATTTGGCATATTCAGCAAGGGCAAATTTTCTTTTGGCTTGACAATTGGTTTGATGAAGGTCTTCATCTAGACTCTAGATGTTCATGGAAAATTCATAACCAAAAATCCACATGGCATTCTAAAGGATAAATTATAAATCGGAAAATCTATGATGCAGAAAATATATGGTATGGGAAGAGTTTTGACCAATCAAAAGCCACCCATGAATTTTGATAAATAACACCTGATTGGCTACTACGTTTATAATTATAGTTGATTGATCARAAGTTTTTCAGATATTGTATCTTTTTCATATATCATAATCAAACCCATCATAAATCTCCAAAATATGAACTAGCAAAATGGATCTATAATCCACTTATTCCTCCAAAAATCTCTTTCTACATTTGGTAAGTTCTTCGTAGGAGCGTTCCTATTGATGATAGTTTAAGGAGAGGGTGGGGGTCCAATTAGCTTCTTCTCCACATACAATTGTTGTGGTGTTAGGCATCTTGAAACTACAGATCATTTGCTCATTCAGTGTCTTGGCTTCTAAAATCTGGGCATACTTCATCTCTCTTTGTAATATTCAATGCCACATAACCAATCATTCAAAGCACGGCTATTGCACTGGATACAGTGTTAAAGGTACTCAAATTCTCAGGTCAGCCAGATTTTAAAACTCATTCCCGTCTTTGTTGCCTAAGAAGTTCGGAAAGAGAGGTGTAATAGACAAATGGATGGATAACATTTCTCCACTCAATCTGTCACTTGTAAGGTGAGTGGTTGGCTTAGAGAGCTGCAACTAAAGACCCCACCAAATGTGCTTCTTTTGGCTGAGTTTGGAAGGAGTACAAATGCAAATATGTAGCATGGTTTTCAAATGTGCTTCTTTTCACTTGACTGTCTACGGCTCCATTGCGTGTGCTCGGGGTAAAATATTCTTGCAGAATTTATAACCGGACAATTAAATAATCGAGTTTCATTTCGAAAGGCAATGAAAAAGGCTATTGAACTAACTGAACAAGCAGATACAAAAGGAATTCAAATACAAATCGTAGGGCGTATCGACGGAAAAGAAATTGCACGTGTCGAATGGATCAGAGAAGGTAGAGTTCCCCTACAAACCATTCGAGCTAAAATTGATTATTGTTCCTATCCGGTTCGAACTATCTATGGGGTCTTAGGCATCAAAATTTGGATATTTGTAGACGAGGAATAATGAGCCTTTCCTGTCTTTCTGACTTTATCTTAAAAAAAATTTCTAAACGCTTCATTATCAATTGATAAAATCTTTTTCTATAAAAATCTTTCAAATTCTTATTCATTGGATTCACCTCACTAGTACACCATATCCATAATCATATCTATCTATCTATCAATTTATCTATATAAAGCATATATAAATTAATACATAAAGCATACCTAATGTACAAGAATAATAAATTAGGTTTGGGTTAGGTCAAGTTGTTCAAAGCATCACCTATTCTTTTGTTAAAATGAGGTTGACCCTTAAAATTGCAAGAATAAATTTTTTTGGTTTGGGTTTGGGTTTGGCTAGTGTGTATGTGTGTGTAAAACCCATCATGCGGGCTATATTCAAGGGGATCATGGGCCTTACTTGCACCTTACTTTCGGATGGGACTTTTGGAGTCTACAATTTTACTCTCCTTGTATGTGGCTTGTGGGCCTTACGTGTCCCTTATTAAAACATCAAACCTACCCCCAATTTATTAGGGTCAAATTGGAAATAGGCTATTTCAATTCAAGCTATTTCATTGGTCGGACCCATTCSCATTCTTGGTGAAATGAGATTTCCCCATATGGGAGAATGGCTGTTCTAACCCCGTAGAAATGTGATTCTCATTCTGTCTTCCTATTTTTATATTTTTGACCACCATCTTCGACGAAGTAAGATTGGTCACCAGTCGGTCGTCCTTCTTTTATTCTTCATTTTCTCTCTCCCTCTTCCTCCTCCCTTTTATCGCTGCCGCTGCCATTAACACTGTTGGAGATCAGTATTAGCAGACCCTCTTTTTTTCCTTCCCTCTCATTTCTTCTTTGTTCCCCTCTTCCTCAAAATCTTTGTCCAGTCAACTAGAGCCCGGAATCTAGGGGTGTCAATTGGACTGGATTTGGTCCAATCTGATCTACTTCAATGTGAGTTCATTATAAATGGATCAGGTCCAATTCAATCCAATAAATGTTTTGGACCAGTCCAATTCAATGTCTGGACTGTCCAATCTGTTCAAATTCATTTTGATTTAGATTGGTTTCAACCCAAACCTAGTCTATTGGCACATATATTTTTACCTTATATCAATGGATTAGATATTGGCTTAATCCAACCCAATCCAATATCAATTTGTTACAGACCGACCAGGTCCAATCCAATCTAATAAATATTTTGGACTGGATTGGTCTAATCCAATATATCTTGTTGTTCCGTCTAAATTAATTTTGGACTGGATGGGAGGGTCCAATCCAAAACTGGTCCATTGACCCCCTTACCAGAATCCATCTTCTTTCTTTTTCTTCTTCTAAATCTCATGTTACCATTGTGACAACAACTGAATAAAGCCTGAAACCTGCCCTTCTTCTTCTTCTTCCTCCAAATCTTTTCCATTATCACTGTAAATAAGGGCAAAACTGAAAAGCTTGATCAATTTTAATTTCAACTTCCAATTCCAATTCTTATCTAAACCAAATAAGTGATTCTGATTCTAGTTCCTAGTAATTCCTATTTCAATCCTGACCACTAACCAAATGGACCCTTCGTATGTATTATAATACCAAAAAAATGAGCAGGTACATAGTTTCTACGGGTTAGCTCGTCCTCACGTATATAATCCACGATATTAGCTTTTTGGGAAGCTCGTGTGCTGAATGGATAACTGTTTTTGATATTCTATGTAACAGTGGAGTAAAAAAAAAAAAAAAAGGAAAATCCATTCGATCATCCTTAAAAGAAAGTAAAAAAAAAAAGTGAAGAAAGATTTACTATTATCATTTTCCAAAGTTCCAACAACAAAAGCTGTATATCTTTCCATCTCCCCCACTTTGCGGAGAAATACATTTGTAATAGTTTTCGGCTCCTTGATTTCCTTTGTATAAAACCATCCATTTTGTTCTTTCTTCGTATGCGAAGTAATTAATGCAAGGAAAACCCAAGAATAACACATTTAAGCAACCTCCATTCGATCCTTCTGTTTTCTTGACCAATTCGATCTCTTTTGTTCTCCCTCTCTCTCTCTCTCTCCCCCTTTTGTTTTCCGGATCTTTGATTTGATTTCATTTGTTTTGTCATTGGCGTTGAATGGGTTCGTGTTATTCATTGTTAGAGGGGTCAGTAGACTCTATGGACTACAATCAGAGTAAGATAAGAAAGAAGAAGAAGAAGAACAGCAGCAGTAGAAACAAGGATGCATTTAAGAGTTCTAGCTCCTTTGCGTCATCAGCAGCAGAGCAGGAGCTCCATAGAATTCCCGGGAGGATGTTCTTGAATGGCTCCAGCGATATAGCGTGCTTGTATACGCAGCAGGGGAAGAAAGGCACAAATCAAGATGCCATGCTGGTCTGGGAGGTCAGTTTAGTTCGGTTTCTGCTTTTCAGTGTTATTCTCTCTGTTATTAGATGTTCGGTATCAGAGGCCCAAATGTTAAAATGGGCAATAATTTAGCTAAACTGGACTGATTTTACGATTTTTATGGTTTTGAACTTTATATTACACGTTTATTAATTCCTTTATGGGTTCTGAAAACCCAGTCTGGGCTTCTATTTGTTAATGGTTTTGGTGTCTATAGCCTTCCAGAAACCCATAAATAATAAAGGATATAGATTCTGAAGTTGCATATGTTACTACTTGAATCGTTTAGTTTAGTTTACTTTCAATCTTTCAGCCTTTTCTCCTTTTTAGGTTCTTAATATCCACTTGCTGGGTTTATCATTCTTAATGGTTTAGGCCTTTAGGGTGAATGAGCTTGAAGATTCGCAAATGATAATGAGAGGCAAAAATCAATAGGGCACTACTGTTACTATTTCTGATCTCTACATGCAATTAAGCACAGAACTATTCCAGCAAGTCAACAACTCAATTTCACCAGGGGAAGGACATGTTTTGTTTGATTTTTGATGTTTCGATTTTTTTTTTTTTTTTGGATATTTAAGCACCTAGTCTACGGAGCAGTTCGGCAGGCGCAGGACAGCAACAAACTAGTGGGAATTGCAGTGGCAGATCAAGGAAGAGAAGTTTGGTGGGATGGGGGTGATGCCCCCCTGGTCCCTCTCTTCTAATTTTCTTGATATTACTTCTATTATTTTTTTATAGTAAAATAGAATTTATTAAATAAAAAAAAAGTACAAGAGAAGGTGATAAAGAATCACCGGAAAGAGAAAGTAACACCACGCAATAACAAAGACCCAACATCTGCTCAAACAAATAGAAAATCAGTACACCCACCCCAGAGGGCAAAATAACTCCAAACCAAAATAGAACCTCCTTTCGTCACCAATCAGTATCAAAGGTAGCAGCAACCTCATCCACTCCCAATCTTCGGTTCCAACCTTTCACTCACCTAACAATCTACATACTATTCTCAGAATCAGTAACCCCAATCCAACTCTCATACAACTAAGACACTAATGACGGAAACTGGACTCCATATCATTGCCAATCATCTCTTTATCCACTGAGCCTCCTTTATTGGCTTAATTAGAATCCAACACTATCCTCCTCTTATTAACCTTCTTTATCTTCTTCACCTTCTTATGAGGACCAGCCTCAAATAAACCCCTCTCAGCCTGAAAAATACTTTCAAAACTTTGATAGCTCTTTGATTTCTCTGACATTTAAAGTGTCTTACAGCATTAGAAAATTTCTCAACCTTCCTCTGGTCTTTGTCCTCAGATCTATCACTCAAAGAAAGCCCTTGTGATTTCATGATCATATTTCACTATCTCCTTTCTCCTCCCTCTGTTACTCCCCTCTTCTTTCTCTCCCTGATAGAACCTAAACTGTCCTCTTCAATAAAGTTGTCTCGACCCTTATCTTTTTCAATAATGTTTTCATATTGTTGTTTCTCTTTTTCTTTGTTTTCTGGCTCTTGAAAAGCCTTCTTTGCAAACTCTTTCCCACCCAAAAAAGAATAATCTCAATGTTTTTCTCACTTCAACCTCCTTATTCACCACTTTCTCCATCTCCTCCCTCTTCGTCACCATCTCCATTGTCCTCTAATGGTCTCATCCCATATCTCCTTTTTTTCTGATAAATAACTGAAATTTATAATCACTAAAAACAATAATGTGTACAATGTGTTATACATCAATTAGAGAACAAAATGTTTCTCAAATCCATGAAAAATAACATTACAAATTCAGCCTAATTGATTCTTGCCCACCCTTTGTCTTGCCAATACATCAGCGAAAGAGTTGGCTGATCTCTGTACCCATTACACTTGCACATGCATCCCTACTGTTAGCCACTTGGACTTTTTTATTTCATTTCTGTTATGATTCGGCCTACCTTGGAGTTCTGTTTGTCTGAGATCAGTCACGTAGAGAGAGGTAGAAAGGTGGAAGAAAGAGAGAGAGAGAGAAAAGAAGAAAATCTGGTTCGAACTGGAAGTCAAAGAACATAACTCCCATTCGGCCAGACATGTGCTTTTATTATTAAAATTAAATATGTGCCCTTATTTAAGTAAGGAGCACTGG